GCGGAGGCACAGTATGATTGCAGATGATAACCATGTAACAGTTTAACAGTGCATGTGTGTGCTTAGCTAACATGTTATAGCACAGTGAGTAACCGGCTATGGTCTAACTAACTAGGTTTCTAAGTGAAGTTCGTTAGGGAGGCAAATTACAGTGGTCCCCCACCTTTGTGGCATTGGGCCAGTCAATGGAATCTGCTGTGGGTGACCAAGGCAATCTGCTGACTGTGGTCGTCGGGGGTGCCCATACTTAGTTTAACCGCTGTTTAGCAGGTTCTTTTGTAGAGCCTTGTTAGGCCGTTACTGTGGGTGGTCGCGCCTATGCGTGAACAATAGACAATGTAATTCGAGATTCTAGGCAGAGGAAATCAAGTTAAGCACCTTAAGGTAGTGACCCATATCACCTATTGCTTGCCAGCTTCTGGTCATTAGCAGGAAGCCATAAAACATGTACACACACTAGGTATTCTAAGTCAAATTACCCAGAGTAACCACCCTGAGAGAGCACGAACAAACAAGGTAGCAACATTTACTACCTAGCGCCTGCCGTCATAGAGAGTTAGTAGGAAGTCCTGTAACTTTTAAACATGCTAGACTTTCTGTGTATTCCAACATGTTAATCATAAAGGTATAAGGTTGATGTATCCCAAACCAGGATTTAAGTCTCATGCTTTTCACGATGCGTCGGTTGTCTCGGTTTTTAGTCCCCTGGACTTGCCTCAGGCAGGTGGGGGTCTCTCCGTGGTTCGAATGGGGCGATGTTGTCCACATCCCATTGTGTTCTCCGAGGGCTGCCCCTTCTGAATTCCCTCTGTGTTATGATGCCCTGCTGGGTCAGAAACAATTGGCCTTCCTCTGGTGAGTGTATTGTATGGGTTATCCCCTCCGCGGTGATCTGAAGGGAGCGTGGAGTGCCCCAGCGGTACGGGATCTTCTTCCGCCTCAGCACGCTGGTGATAGGGCGCAGTGTTTGCCTCCATTGCATGGTGGGTTTTGAGAGGTCATTATAGAATGTCAGGTTGTGCCTCTCGAAGGCCAGGAACGGCAAATCCCTGACCGCTGCCATGATCGCCGTTTTGTCCAGGTGTGTGACAAGCTGTATAATGATATCGCTGGATGCCTGTTGGGGCTGTCTGCCCTGCCTGCGGATTCTGTATACGTTATCCACCAGGATGTTCTTAGCCAGTTTGTGGGGGAGTATTTGCTGGAGCAAGCGCCCCACGTATTGCGGCAGTTCACTCTTGTTTATCGTAGTAGGGATACCCCTAATCTTGATATTCTTGCTGCGGCTGCGGTCTTCATATTCAGTTAGTTTCAGTGTCATTGTTGCTTGTGAGGCTGTTAGCCGTTTCTGCTCTGCGGCAAGTGTGGTTTGCTCGGCTTTGAGGTGGGCCGATGTTTCCTCTGCGGCCTTGAGGCGCCCTGTAAGTGAGAGCATGTCCTCTCTCAGAATTGCAAGGTCCGCCTGGAACATCTTGCGGATGTCGCGGAGGAGTGATTTAATGTCTCCCTTCGTGGCCGGGGTGTTATTCTCCTCGTCCGAGGATTCCGTATACAGGCCTCCAGCTTGTGGGATCTCGTCTAGGGCGTCCATGGGGGTTTCTTCCTCCTCCGATGAGGTCTCCGCATGTAGGTCCGCCATCTTGGGCGCCACGCGCGGGAGGCTTCTCTGCATGTATTCCCCAATATTACGGGTTCCCGATGCCAGGGCTGCCTTGATCTTCTTGGCCCGTTTTCCCATTGCGTAGGTGGGGTGCTAGTTGGTGTTCCGGTGATTTTTCACCCGGTTAGCTGTTGTTTTTAGGCTTGTTGGTACGGAGCTACAGCTCTGCACGTCTGTTCGGTTTGCTGGCTTGGCTCCGCCCCCTCATGAGCATGGACTTTTAGATGTATAAAGAAGACATTGCGTAAATAAAGAAAAGGCTGTGCCCCACATCATGTGAATCCAGATGTACAACTGTATTCCAGTTATCACAAATGTTTGATGTAATGATGTGCCGTTGCATCTCAGTAGTAGTTTGCGGCTTTAATATTCTTAAAGATTACAGGGGAACTATAGTGCTAGGAATACAAAATTGTATTCCTAGCACTATAATACCCCATAGAGCCCACCTCACTTTACCTTTATTTAGTGTGTTGATTAAATTGTCTTAGCTTTTACCAACATATGACTCAACTTAATATTTTTGGGTAAGCTTTTCGAATCATATAATATGTTTGATAAGATTCTAAAATTATTATTTTTTTTTACAAAATATTGAAATATCAAATAAATATATAATACATAAAGAAATATATCAAATCAAATGTATCATGATATTAATATATTTTTCAAAATATTAAATAATTTGAAAAGCTTATGCAAAAATATTAAATTAAGGCCATAGCTTACAGCAACATCTCCAAAGAAAAACTTACTTTACCCATATATTGTTCTGTATTATTTTCCTCTACACCTGTACCTATTGGAACACCACTGGGGTAGATCATTTCTAATACATAATATTAAAAGTTTTAATAGGTCTAAGCTATCTTTACTATGGCAAGAATTCAAATGTAATTATTGTGTAAAACTGGTGTAAACAATCAAATAACAATAATAAATGATGGTTCAGCTAAATGTACTTTTATTAGCACTTGGAGGTAACAATGGAGGGACGTGATCTAGACTGGTGGCCGTGTGATGATGGGAGGATTGCTATGACTTGCGTGTCTGGCAATGTCCATAATGTGTGGTTGTGCCTTCAAAATGGCAGGCCCACCCACTGTGTCACACACTAACTGACAGCCTGCCTTGCCTGCCCCCAACATACAGGACCATGCAGAGAATGCTGCAGACAGTTCCCACGCATCCACAAATGTGGAACACCAAGTAACAAAATCAAGACAGTTGGACAGGATCCCAAAACAGGGAATGTTGGGAGTCCTGTAACCACAGGTCTATGTGATTTGCATTACATTGCACATGTGTTTTCTTATTAAGAACATACAGAATTACGGGGATTATCTTCAACAGACCTTTCACATGCTCCACATCTAGAGTATTTTCATAATCTGAATTATTCTGAGGTAATGGATAAGTAGTGTACAATTTGTAATATGAATCTAAACCAGTGGTTCACATCCCTTTTGGACCAAAGGACACTGTCAAGGCCTGTGTTTATTTTTGCCTTAATCATTAAAAGATCATAAATGTCATGTTTACCTGAAGCCTTTCTAGAAAGATATGCATGCTTCTAGCCCAACTGACTTATTTGTTTAAATTAATTACCACATGCAAATCCCAGTTTTGATTCTTAAACCAAAACAAACCACAGTTAGAAAATCAACATAACCTCTGAAAAGGTTAACATAAATAGCAGTCCATAAATAAGCATCAAGACAAGTGTCCATTCTTTTAGTTGCTAAAAAATTCCATTAAAATTTACAGTGTGAAACAAAGTCTTATGGAAACCGCATGCATTAATTTGTTTGTATGCCAATTGAGATTTTTGTTGTATTTTATTTTTTGGCTGATAATATAAAGATAGATTTGTCAGAATCCCAGGACATACTTAAAAACTAACAACAGCCCAAGATGTCCCCTTAATTTAATCTCAATATTAACCCTGTGAATTGTGTATCCTTGATGAAAAGGAACTATCACAAGTATCTTAATACCACTAACACATTTTGAAATAAAAGAGACTAAAAACAATATTTCTATCCATATTTTATTTTATTTTCTAAATTGTTAGTGAAATATAATGATGTCCTTTTGGACTCTGTATCTTCAGTGGTCATAAAAAAATAGACTTTCACAAAATGAACTGAACTTTACATTTTCTTACTGGTTATTTATGTCAGTCGTGATAATGATTTTTCAAAATGTAATTACAGAATCTGAAAATGACTGAGATACATTGCAGGGTTTCTGGATAAGTATAACATTTCCAAATAAATGTGGTATGAAAGGAGAAAGACTTAGAGGTAAAGTGCAATGGACCATATAATCTTAATTATGTAGATGTTCTACACAATCCGTTAGATATGGTGAAATATGGTCAACCAGTGCTATCACAATTAGCATCAAATGTACTAATGTAGCGTCTTTGTAGACTTTAGAAAATTGCAAGCTTCTATGTTAGACTCATGTCACTGGAACAGAGTTTTTTAGTTTGCTTTATATCCTATCTTATTCACTGTAGATCTTTCATCCAGAATGTAAGTTGGGCAGATGCCCATTTGAAATAAAGATGTCACTCATGGAACTGTGACTGGGTATAGTAAATGCCTGGGCTTTTAAAGACTACAGCTTGAATGTCAGCATGAAATATATTGATTATAAGAATTTATTTGGTTATTACAAATTATTACTAGTATTTAGAGTGTAGCTAAGCAATACAAATCAAAATTACAAAACTGCTCTGCATGAAGTTCAGTTTCATCCTTGGTTTATAAGTCTTTTGTAATAAATACGAAAGTAATTAAAATATTTGCTATCCTGCATTTTCATGAACCTCACAAATAATAGATTGGATGAGATTTCTAAAAGTGTTCTGTTCTAAAAAAGCGTGCAAATATTTAAAATATGAAATGTGCCTTCTGATCCAGCTGGTTTCCATGGGGATTGTATCACTTTTAGTACTTAAGACCACAATTTTAAACAGTACACTTTAATAAAACTTCCCCCTTGTTTTCTTTTTTTTAAATCAGGGTTATAGGGCAGGGCAATATTAACACATTATATGAATAACCCAATTAAAAATTGATTTCCATTTATCAACTTCAAAGAGATTACTTTTCGTCATTAATAATATTGTATTTAACTTCCGACCACCTAGTTTATAGAACATTAAAGGGAAACATTGCAAATAAATAAATAAATAAAAATACAATTCCCTGCATTCAAAGATCGCCTGGAAATTAATGTGATTATGGTGTATGGGTCCTTCCCTATTTGGGGGTTCATTTCATGATTTGAAGCATTGTCATTTTGATTTCACTGTAGGATTGATCTATTTCCTCTTGATGCCTCTTTCAATGTTGCCAAGGAGTCTTGATTCCCTTTTATGTACATGGATACCGATTAATTCCTCACTCAACTGTTTTTTCTTTGGAAGCAGTGATCTTTGATTGTGGGAAAATGTCTCTGAAAGAAGCAAGAGAATACACCAAGTCATTTTTCAAATTAATCATCAATATATCTACAGCTCACTGGAAGCTCAGCGCAATTTTCCATGATACAGAGATACTTAGCAACAGTAATACATTGCTTAAGGAAATTGATAGCAAGTAGTATGATAAGTCAAGTAGTTATTAGCTACTATGTGTTAACCCTTGTTAAATAAAACTGATCTCAGTTATTAATCTATATCTTACTGACAGATTAGCGTTACCGAGATAAATTTACCGGGTTATTTACTAAAGTGCAAATTCAAAATGAATTTGCCCCTGCAGTCTCACTGCTGCCATTTAGGAGTTTAATCACTTTGTTTATGTAGCCATAGCCACAACTCCCCTGGCTGTGACTTACACAGTCTCCTTACGTCCCATAAAAAAGACCTAATATTTAAACTTCCTCTATTGTTCACTGTGTTTAATTTGTAATATAAATGCCCTTCTCCGATAGTAGCCTGTTGGACCCTCCTGTGTGTGGTTAAAGTTCAATTAAAAGAGCAAGTGATATGAACATCTAACATAAACACACTGTGCTGTCAAATCTGATTGAGAATTAAACAATTTCTTCATGTTGGCTATTTGAGTTGCAGGCAGGGGAGGTGTGACTAGTGCTGTATAAACAGAAACAAAAGTGCTTTAACTCCTAGACAGCAGAGTTTTGAGCATTGAGACTGCAAGAGCATGATCTATACACCACAACTGCTTCATCAAGCTACAATTGTTTTGATGCTTGGATGATGCCATTAATAATGCAAGATTTAGTTACTCGGATATTACTTAGGGTATAGAGACTGGTAGTTTAGATAGGGAAATGTTTTTGGACCTGCTAAATTAAACTTTATGTCTCAGTTAGTAGAGATACCAATTAGAGAAGTTGTCTGGGTCCAGTAATAGAAAACAATGCTGAACCATTTTCAAACATTGACAATTGGAAGCACTTAGATCATCACACTAGGACCGCAATATAGTGTAACATGAAATCACCTGAAAACCAATTACAAATTATGGGCTTCACTGGAAAACTTTAATTTAAAAAGACAAGTACAAACAGGACAATTACAAATTATGGGCTTCACTGGAAAACTTTAATTTAAAAAGACAAGTACCAACAGAACTAGTTTTATGAAGGGCCAATCATATCAAACTAACTTAAATGCATTCCATGAAAATTCAGTCGTGGTATATGTTAAAGGTACACTATAGTCACCAAAAACAATTAATGAATCAGGTTTGTTGTGTAGATTATGCCACTGCAGTGCCACTGCTCAATTCTCTGAGCTTTAGGAGTTATATTAATTTGTTTATGCAGCCCTATTCATACATTCCTGCATGTGACTTGCAAAGCCTTCCTAAACACTTCATGTAAAGAGTCGTATACAACTTTTCACTTCCTTTATTGCACATTCTGTTTAATTTAGAATTTCTTAATTTAGAATTTCTTAATTAATGTAAGTTCACAGAGCAGGAGATAAAAACTTTCAAAGTATGTTACATCCGGGGGCGGACTGACCGGTCGGGGCACTTCGGACATGGTCAGAGGGCCTGGCCGGGAGGGGGGCCCACCGCCAGGGCCGCCATCAGGGGGCCCGGCGGCAGGGCTGGATTGGGGGCGGCATCTGGGGACTGCAGAAGAAGGTGTCCAGCCGCGTTTCATGCTGGAGCCGCCGGGCCGGGTGGCAGCCTTGCCGGTCCGGCGGCACTCCTCTCACTAATGCTGAGGACGGAAGGAGGAGGAGCATGTCTCTCTATCATGCTCCCTGCGGTTCCCACAATTCCCAGCACAGGATGTGGGAACCGCAACTAAGCATGAGAGAGAGACATGCTCCTCCTCCTTCCGTCCTCAGCATTAGTGAGAGGAGTGCCGCCGGACCGGCGAGGCTGCCACCCGGCCGGCGGCTCCAGCATGAATCGCAGGCCGGCCCCCTGTGTCTCAAGTCACAGAAAGAGGGGGAATAGAGAGATGGGGAGGGGGGGAGAAAGAGAAAAGAGGGGAATAGAGAGATGGGGAGGGGAGAAAGAGAGGGAGAAAGAGGGGAATAGAGAGATGGGGAGGGGGGAGAAAGAGAGGGAAGAATGAGACACAGGGGAAAAGAGGGGGAATAGAGAGATGGGAGGGGGAGAAAGAGAACAGAGAGATGGGGAGGGGGAGAAAGAGAGGGAAGAATGAGACACAGGGGGAGAAAGAGGGGGAATAGAGATATGGGGAGGGGGGAGACAGACAGAGAGGGAAGAATGAGACACTGGGAGAAAGAGGGGGAATAGAGAGATAGGGAGGGGGAGAAAGAGACACAGGGGGAGAAAGAGATGGGGAGGGGGAGAAAGAGACAGAGAGGAAGAGAGATGTGGGGGAGAGAGAGACACAGGGAAAGGGGGGAGAAAGAAACAGTGGAAGAGAGAGAGACGGAGAAAGGAGAGAGACACACAATGGGAGGGGGAGAAAGAGGCAGAGGGGTAAGAGAGACAGGGAAGGAGAGGGGAGACATAGACACAGGAGCAGTGAGGGGGAGAAAGAAACACATAGAGGGACGGGGGGAGACAAAAAGGCACACAGAAGGGCTGTATAAATCACTGGTGGATCCAGGGGGCAACGGGGCAATTGTCCCCCTCCCCTGTCCGCAGGCACCGTGCGGGCACCCGGCAGGGGAGGGAGGAAGAGAGGACCCGAGAGCTCAGCCTGCAGCTCCTCTGGGTCCTTCTTGCGTGAGCACAGAGCGTTGCCGTGGTTACCATGGCAACATTACCACTCTTGCAAGAGTCAACTCTAGCCCTGGAGCTACGGGCTAGAGTTCACTCTCAACACTGTGACCACCAGGGATTCCCCATAAACACACTGCCCCCACACACACACCATACACATTCACACACTGCCCCCACACACACAACATACACATTCACACACTGCCCCCCATACACACACACTGCCCCCACATACACCATACACATTTACACACATTGCCTCACACATACACTGCCCACCCATATACACACAGACCCCCATACAAAGCACCCCATACTAACATTGCCACACACATACACAGCCCCCTCATACACACATTGCCCCACACACCCTACACATTCACACACTACACACACACTGCACCCCTCACACATTGCACCACTCCTCCTATACCCCACTACAGACCCATATCCCAGCAGGACCCAGGGAAGTTGTCAAACTGTTCTTAAACGGTTTGACTACTTACTCTGGGAGGGGGGCCCGGCCCTCCTGGCACCATAACCACAGAGCAGTAGTGGTTATTGTGCATGGATTATTTCTTTAAATAATCTACAAGTGCCCCAGTAGCCAGCCAGCCTACAGGCCGGCCAGACAGCCAGCCAACCCACAGGCAGCCCACAAGCCACCAGTTAGCCAGCCCACAGGCCAGCCAGGCCAGTAGCCAGCTCACAGGCCTACAGCAAGCCACAGGCTTACAGCCAACAAGCCCACAGCCTGCAAGTTGCAGCCAGCAAGCCACAGCCTGCCAGCCGCAGCCAGCAAGCCCACAGACTGCCAGCCAGCAACAGTAATTAAGGTAAGAGGAGCCAACTTAGCCTAGGTATCAGCGAGCTTTGTTGTGTTCCTATACTGTGAATAGGAACCAGAGTGTTGGAGAGACCCCCCTCCAGGCCCCATTAGACTCCATTGTAGTCTCTAATGGGGTCTGGAGGAGATTCTTACTAACACACTCTCTAAAGGACACTGAGATAGCCTCATCTAGAATGACCCCCCCTCCATGGCCCATTAGCCCTCAATTGTAGTCTCTACTGGGGCCTGGAGGTGACTGTTTCCAGCAGGGGCTATCTAATGGATGCTGAGATGGCCTCTGTTAGAAAGACCCCCTTCCAAGCCTATTAGACTCAATTGTAGTCTCTAATGGGGCTTGGAGGGGATTCTTTCTAATACACTCTCTAAAGGACACTGAGATAGCCTCTGCTAGAAAGACCCTCCTCCATGGCCCATTAGCCCTCCATTGTAGTCTCTACTGGGGCCTCGAAGGGATTATTGCACTTTTGTTCCTTGTGTCTAAAGATTGTGTAGGGTGTGGATGGAGGCGGGACAAGGGTGGCGCTTGCTGTGGAGTATGGGTGGGGCCTGTAAGGGGGCCCTTGATTTATTTTGCCCGGGGGCCCTGAGGTTTTCAGTCCGCCCCTGGTTACATCTGATTGAAAATGAAACTATTTTTTTCATCATGCATGCTATGTTAGTCACAGCCAGAGGAGGTGTGAGCAGTAAAACGTCAGAGGGATGATCTATAAACCAAAACTGCATCATTAAGCAAAAGTAGTTTTGATGACTACAGGGTCCCTTCCACCTATGGCAGTGGACTCAATCTACTAATTATTGTTATTGCATAATTTGATAAATAGAAGAAATATTATAAAGGTTACACTTGTAAACTTTAGAATATCAGAAAGGATTTGAAAATATTACACAAATATTCAGGGACAGTATAAAGAGCTTTGTGATGAACTGTTCATTAACAGGAATGTCTAAATGACAAAAGGATCATGAACAGAAACATAAAATAATTTAAATGTTATTTTAGACAAAGGGAATTAGTCTTCCCAGTAAGTACAAAGAATATCCAGAATTATCTACCTAGAAAGGATGTTTTATCAGATTCAGTAGACATCTTTAGAAAAGTCTGCATATGGGGACAAGACCTTGTGCTGTACTGATCAGACATATCTTGGTGGAGCAACACACCATTTAGGCAATTACTTTTAATAGTGTGTTCTCTGGGAAATAGTCATCTTGTCCTTCTATTTAGAGAATATTAGTAGGCACACTAAAAGCCTATATATATATATATATGACATACTCATCCCCTCACTACATGGAAATGTCGCTGGCAGAGTTTCAGTGATGGAAGGGCTGCACATAAACCGTACATAATCTCCCTGCATGTATGTGGTGGGTAGAATTGGTCTAGAGACAGTATTAAAATCCTTCTGACACAGGAGCCCTTCACATCCAGAGACCACACTAAGATATGACTTAGCCCCTTAAAGTCCTGATCAATACACTGTCACCCAAGAATAGGGGGTACCCAGAATATACAATTCCATTCTCTTACACAAAGACTGCCACTCGAGACGTGATGTTGCTTTGGCGCTAACTCAATGATAGCCTCCCCAGTTTTTGCTATTTGTAAGGTGGGCTGTGCTGGCTATATATAAGATGGGCTGTGCAGTACTGGCTATTTGTAAGGTGAGCTGCGCAGTGATGGCTATTTGTAAGGTGGACTGTGCTGGCTATATATAAGATGGGCTGTGCAGTGCTGGCTATTTGTAAGGTGAGCTGCGCAGTGATGGCTATTTGTAAGGTGGGCTGTGCAGTGCTGGCTATTTGTAAGGTGGGCTGTGCAGTGCTTGCTATTTGTAAGGTGGGCTGTGCAGTACTGGCTATTTGTAAGGTGGGCTGTGCAGTGTTTGCTATTTGTAAAGCTGGCTGTGCCGTATTTGCTACCTGTAAGGTGGGCCCTGCAGTGCTTGCTATTTGTAAGATGGACTGTACAGTGCTTGCTATTTGTAAAGCCGGCTGTGCCGTATTTGCTACCTGTAAGGTGGGCCCTGCAGTGTTATTCTATTTGTAAGGTGGAGTGTGCAGTGCTGGCTATTTGTAAGATGGGCTGCGCAGTGCTGGCTATTTGTAAGGTGGGCAGTGCAGTTCTGGCTGTTTGTAAGCTGGGCTGTGCATTGCTTGCTATTTGTAAGATGGGCTGTGCAGTGCTTGCTATTTGTAATTTTGGTTGTGTAGTGCTGGCTATCTGCACGATGGGCTGGGCAGTGCTTGCTATTGGTAAGGTGAGCTGTGCAGTGCTTGCTTTTCATAAGATGGGCTGTGCAGTGCTGGATATTTGTAAGATGGACTGTGCAGTACTGGCTATTTGTAAGATGGACTGTGCAGTACTGGCTATTTGTAAGGTGGAGTGTGCAGTGCTGGCTATTTGTAAGATGGGCTGCGCAGTGCTGGCTATTTGTAAGGTGGGCAGTGCAGTTCTGGCTGTTTGTAAGCTGGGCTGTGCAGTGCTTGCTATTTGTTAGATGGGCTGTGCAGTGCTTGCTATTTGTAATTTTGGTTGTGTAGTGCTGGCTATCTGCACGATGGGCTGGGCAGTGCTTGCTATTGGTAAGGTGAGCTGTGCAGTGCTTGCTTTTCGTAAGATGGGCTGTGCAGTGCTAGATATTTGTAAGATGGACTGTGCAGTACTGGCTATTTGTAAGATGGCCTGTGCGGTGCTTGCCATTTGTAAGATGGGCTGTGCAGTGCTGGCTATTTGTAAAATGTGCTGTGCAGTGCTTACTATTTGTAAGGTTGGCTGTGCAGTGCTGACTATTTGTAAGATGGGCTGTGCAGTGCTGGCTATTTGTAAGATGGGCTGTGCAGTGCTTGCTATTTGTAAGATGGACCATACAGTGCTTGCTATTTGTAAGGTGGGCTGTGCAGTGCTGGCTATTTGTAAGATGGGCTGTGCAGTGCTGGCTATTTGTAAGGTTGGCTGTGCAGTGCTGACTATTTGTAAGATGTGCTGTGCAGTGCTTGCTATTTGTAAGATGGGCTGTGCAGTGCTTGCTATTTGTAAGATGGACCATACAGTGCTTGCTATTTGTAAGATGGGCTGTGCAGTGCTGGCTATTTGTAAGATGTGCTGTGCAGTGCTTGCTATTTGTAAGGTGGGCTGTGCAGTGCTGGCTATTTGTAAGGTGGGCTGTGCAGTGCTGGCTATTTGTAAGATGTGCTGTGCAGTGCTTGCTATTTGTAAGGTGGGCTGTGCAGTGCTGGCTATTTGTAAGATGTGCTGTGCAGTGCTTGCTATTTGTAAGGTGGGCTGTGCAGTGCTGGCTATTTGTAAGATGGGCTGTGCAGTGCTATTTGTAAGATTGACTGTACAGTGCTTGCCATTTGTAAAGCTTGCTGTGCCGTATTTACTACCTGTAAGGTGGGCCCTGCAGTATAATTATATTTGTAAGGTGGACCTTGCAGTGTTATTCTATATGTAAGGTGGACCTTGCAGTGTTGGCTGATGTGCAGTGTTTGCTTTTGGTAAAGCAAGTTTTGCAGTGTTTTTCTGTCTATTTCATGTAAGTAAACTTATTTGAAAAGTTTGATAGATCTAGTCACCATGGAAACAAGGGTTTTTCTAAGTTTGTTGAATTGTTGACAGTTTAATTTGCATAAGGATATCTTCAAAGGCTCACTATTATAATGTTATATCTTTATTGGGTTGCCTACTCTAAACTTATTGTTTCTTTCTCATCACCACCATGTCTGCATTTATTCAGTATTACCAATAAAATTTAGGAAATCAAATAAATACTGTTTCCTTTATATGACACAACTGGTAATAACTTCAAACAGTTTTTTTAAGAAAAGGAAAAAAATGTATGAGAGGCCGATCCTAAGACTTTTTAAAATCTGAATGAAAATGCAACTACGACTATCATATACATTGTCATTTCATTTTATGGCCTTGATTTAATTAATATTTTTAGATAAGCTTTTCAACATTTGATATTTTTCGATTTTAAACTTTTAAAATTATTTGTATATATTATTCAAAATGTTCAATATTTTGAAATATAGTTTAATATTTCGATTTTTCTAAATGTATTAATATATTTTTATATATTATATTTTTTGATAGCTTAATATTTTGAAAAAAAATAATTTGAAAAGTTTCTTGAAAAATATAAAATGATTCGAAAAGTTTATCCATAAATATTAAATCAAGGCCTATATCAGACTACAGATATGTAATTAAAGGAACACTATACCGTTAGGCATACCAAACTGTATTCCTAATGCTATAGTGCCCCTTTCCCTCTAATGTCCCTTACCCGTGTTCCCCCACAGCGAATAAAGGGTTAAAAATCCCTTTAAACACTTACTTGATTACATGTAAGTAGAGCAAAGTCACGCCAATGGGGGAACTTAATGTGCATGCATGGGGAGCAATGTGCGCACCTTAGACCATCCACATAGTAAGCCATTTTAATAAATGCTTTCCTATGGGAACTTTGAAGATGCTGGATGTCCTCATGCAAAGCGTGAAGACATCCAACATTGTTTCATGGTGTTAAACTTTGTGAAAAGCCAGGAAGCACCTCTGTTGACTGTTTTACATTGCAGGGTTTAGAGGACATGTCATCACATACTATAACAAATGAAGTACATACCTATTGCACTGTACTTAAAGAGACCACTTCATATCATTGAAATGATCTGAATTCCAAGAGCACTGCATAGCTATATATGATACATTGGTACATGCCAGCACTAAAGAAATTCTATATAAAAACATATAAAACAATATAATATTAATCATTCTAAAAGTCCCATATATATATATATATAAAATAAATAAATAAAAATACACATTCAAAAAGTTATTTGAAGGGCTGCCATATTTAAGGTCTATATATTTGTTTGTTTTGGTCTTAGTTGCATGGTAACTAGTACGTTAAAGATCAATAATCAAGATAACAAAAGGTCATTGAGGGAAATTATAATTGCCAGCATTCTTATTAATGTCATTTAGCTGACAGTTTGCACTCTTATGTAATTCACATCTCATTTTTATCATTTACTGGTTATTTAAAGGGTCTATCACTCTCTTTTTTTCTCTCTCTTTTAATAGATTGTGAATATAAATCACTAAAATAAAAATAGTTTTTGTTTTTTTTTGTATTAAAAGATACCCACTTCCATTGATGTCTCTCCTACTGCAAGTCCTTGAGCTCTGATCTTCCTCCATCCACTTAAAAAACCTAAAGGTATACAAATAATTGTTGACCTCTTGTCTAAATCAATTGGAGGATAGCTATACATCCACCATTTCACATATCTTTTGTTCCCAATTAAAATTAATATAGAATAATTTTGATTGCAATATATCTAAAATCACATCATCAGTTGTTTTGGTAACACTGTCTCCCCAACAGTTTTCACCGAGTATCATATTTATCAAATGCCAGTGTGATCTGCAACTGAGCAACATTTTAACTATTTATGGGTTTACCAAGAACTTACTTTATCAGTACAGAAACTGGGGTGGGGCAGAGCCTGACTGCTGAACGGATCAGACATGTCTCATCTGAGCTCCAGCCTCGGTTACCTAAAGTTCGGCGCTAACTGCGGGCTACATGCTCATTCTGACCCTAAGAGGTACTCATCTTGCTAAGCCGATGTTGGTGAACCCGGAGATAACTGACACTAGCCCGTTCAGAGCTGGATTACCCGGACTGAGGGACTGAGGCCTACTTGAGCTTGAGCTGGGGTGAGACGGCCGCTCTCCCAGTTCTCCGACCGGCACGTAGTTGCCCCCCCCTTCTGCACTGGTGGGGGGGTTATCCTGGTCCCCACTGGAGAACACCACGACCCTCTGCAGCCTTTACGCACCCGCACCGACGCAGTCCCTAAACAGGGCAGACCACTCCAAGATGGTGAACACGCTGCCGCCTCGTGTGCAGGGACTCACCATGACAATGCAGGGCACATGTGAGCAGAAACAATATTGTCTGTCAGTGATCTTTGACACCTTATGGGCTAAGCTTTCAGCCCACCTTGAGATGACAACAGCACCGGCAGACAGGAGTGAGGGGAGAAAGAGACGGGAAATGAGCGGGCCCCCTTATCACGGGTCACTGGTGTGAATGAAACTTAGACGCTTCTGTTCACCTTAATAGAAGTTGCAGGTCCAATTAATGAAGACATGCTAAATTAAGCTAGATGCATATGTTGTATAAAACCTTTTAAAGAATAGCTTTTCAGACCAGTCTTCAAGAACAATCAGTTGTCCAGTTTTGATGAATGTATACATTCTTTTTGTCTTATACTGAGATTGAGAATTGCTTATTTTATCAATATTCACATAAATTCAGTTAGTTTTTTCAATGTGCCTATCCAGTTGTTGTATAATTGCCCAGGAAGTTAAACTAATTTATCTTGTGTACTTTTATGAATACATTGGTTTTTAACTAGTCTATATTGACAAAGTCTCTTAATTAACCTTCATTCATTACAATAGATTTGTAGATCCGGAAATGAAATTGAAAGTCGTCCATATTGTTCCCTTGCAGCTACTCTCTAATTGAAAGTAATAACTGAATAGTTAGATGCACATTTCATCTATTTGACAAAAATCAACTAGAATGTAATGCCTCAATTTGGTCTATATATTATATCAAATATCTGTCCTATGAATGCCATATTTAATTCTAAAAGGGAACTGGCCTTGCTAGTTAGCTGCCTTGCAGAAATATTGGTCCTATCAACTGTCAAAGATACTCTCCACAAAACAAACAGAAGCTCTCATAATTGATGTACTTGTGCAGTGCACAAAAAGAAGTATTTTTTTTTAGCTACAGTTGCCAGGACTTAAAAAAGATGACGTCCGATGTCCTGTCCCTTAACTTTTGTCAACCGTGACGTTGTCCATAGGGCATAGAAATCCCTACTTGGTCTTATGATATCTTTCTATTGCATTGGAACATTTTCAATACAGTCACCATGAGTATTTAACAAAGATTGTAATCCAACATTCACATTTTTATGGTGCTGGAGTTCGTGGGCACTCTCTTACTTTATGAGGTTAAATCATTTTCAAATGGTTTAACTCCAAAATTGTGTCTCTGGGCACCCATTCACACTGCCTCCTCTCTTCTTCTCATAGCTATTTCACTGATAAGGAAGGGTTGAGCATACATACTGTTTTTTTTTACAATGGCCATTGATAGGCTGAAAGTAGGGGCTGATGTTCCCAGCCTCACCTATCACCACCACTATCATCATGAGGAAGAGAGGAGGCAGTGCAGATAAGGACAGGACTTCTGGGTTGAACTGTTCAAAAATTATTTAACCCCAAGATAAGAGGACATCCAGAGGCTCCATCCCCGTGTTTTGGTTCTGTGGGTCAGTGGTCCCCTTAAATATGTTAATACATTTATTTACATAATAAATACTTTGATGTTGGATTAAAATCTTTGAAATACTTATATTGAATGTGTTGAAATGTAATTTCAATTCCAATGCACACAAAAGGTCATAAGACTGGCACACAACTGCTGAGTTAAACCGTTCAGAGACTCGACTCCAGCGTCCGTAACAACTTCATTGGGATCAATGTATGAGTGCAGAGTGAGGTGTTGTTTTAATTGCCTAAACTAAATGTGTTAATATGTAGAGATGCTTTTGTGCCCACTTATAGTTGGCCATCTCAATTGAATCGCAATAGAAGTTAGTTAAAAAGTGTAATTTAGTATTTGATACATGATTTACATTTATCCTGGCTAATCGTCTGAAACATTTTTTCTCCTGTTTGACTTCATTAGTAGAAATGCAGCCAAGTGAAGACAAGGGACAAACAGAAAAACAAGATAAGGGTATTTTAAATACTATTACCTTGCCACATCAGAACCACACTGTATATATTAATTTAACTATATCTGAATATTTTCAAACACTATTTTTACTATGTATATTTATGTTCATTCTTGCAGATTTCTCTGTTTAATATTTCCTGGAATAGCTTGACAATGCTATATTAATTATAATTACACAGTCTGTTTCCACTGTTAGTGACAGAAAAATTGTAACATTTATTTTGTGATGAAAATTATTATTAAATTCTTCAATGCATTTTGAACATATTTTTATGTGTACTTTTGCACACACATTTATTAACGTGTCAAAAAACAACTCTTATTCAACTCTTTTTTTGCAAATGGATTATATGATTATGAGAAACGATCAAAGGACACATTTTTAAAATTTTGACTTCTGTTGATACGTCAGATCAGCCTTACTTGATGTGAATTGTGATATCATATTGGTTATTTTTTTCTCCTCTTCATCTAGTTGTCTTCTACCGAGGCCATGGGTTCTGGAGAGCACACAGTCAACATAGATGTCCCAAAAAAGTTGTGCCAGGTCCCAGAACAGAACTCCATGCTTAAAGTTCTCAGATGATTTAAGATAAATCATAAAGTCCCAGAAACCAGACACACTGTCTGCAATGCGTGGCTTTTTCATTTCTAGAAGGATGGCAGTTGATGTCTCCCAGCACTGAGGATCTGCACGTCCAAGAGCCAATGGATCAATTTGACCGTGGCAATACATAGTTTGGATGCCAAATATTCCCAGGAAAAGAACAATGCATGTTAGCTGCATACTGCAGCACGTTCTGATGGTGCTCTCGGGTCCCATGTCACTTTCTGAATGAAGTAAATGAAAATAAAGATCATTATAATTAGTGCCTTTTTAAAAGATAATCTTTCACTTACCTTACACAATTTAATAAAACATTCAAAATCACCTATAACCTGTGTTAACCTTTTTTTTCATGAGATACTCTGCTGTCTTTTACATTTACAGTAAAGAGTTAGCAAATTACATTATAATCCAGGTCAGACAAGGCAAAACCATGGCCAACACTGCAAATGAACAGGATAATTAAAACAATGTTTAATTTCTTCTCTATATCTTCTTTCTATACTGATGGTCAGCAAAAGGACAGTGTTTCTAACAATAATTGTCAGGGAACTAAGATGGAGGTGCACATTTGCAGCATAAACATGTGTGGATTTCTGCATTTCATTTCATTTTTTACACCTCACAAATACATATTTGTTAAATACAGGGATAAATAAACATAGTAATAATAATCCTGTGAAATTAGTGATAATTCCTCTCTAACTAGTGTGATGATACAATTTGGCATATTTGCTGAGAGCAAGTTACACTTATTTTAAATTATTATTAAGATTGCAGATACTGTATCTATGGAATGTTTGAACTTAACAACAAAACTGATGCTGGGCAACATATCTGAACAGTGCCAAACCTAGCCATCACTACGTTGTTATATATACAAAAAATATATTAAGTTAAAAGATACTTTAGTCAATAATGATGTCCCGAACTCTTCGCCACGTACGGTTCGCCACGGACTCATCATTGAGTAAACTTTGACCCTGTACCTCACAGTCAGCAGACACATTCCAGCCAATCAGCAGCAGACCCTCCCTCCCAGATCCTCCCACCTCCTGGACAGTTCACTAAGAAGGCAGCTTCACAATGGATGCTGTCCAGGAGGTGGGAGGGTCTGGGAGGGAGGGTCTGCTGCTGATTGGCTGTAATGTGTCTGCTGACTGTGAGGTACAGGGTCAAAGTATACTCAATGATGAGTCCGTGGCGAACCGTTCGCGAACAGTTCGGGACATCACTATTGGTCAACAGAACAACTACAGCTTAATATGTAGTAATGTGTAGTAATATAATCTGACCCTGCAGGCTTTTCAATGCAAACGCTGCCTTTTCAGAGAAAAGCCTTATGCTACACTTAATATTTTTTTTCCACATAAATCTACACTCAATACCCCATAACGACCGTAAAAAAAAATTGTTTTAAAAACATTGCAAATTTATTCAAAAGAAAATACTAAACTATCATAGTGACATAAAAATTCAAACATTTTGCTATGACACGTGAAATTTAGCACAAGATGCATCCCATTTCTCTGCATCCTCTTTGAGATGCTTCTACACTATAATTGGAGTCCACCTTTGGCAAATTTTATTGATTGGAAAAGCACAAACCTGTCTGTATGAGGTCTTACAGTGGTAAATGCATATCAGAGCAAAATCCCAGCCATGAGGTCAAGGGAACTGCCTGCAGAGTTCAGAGGCAACATTTCAGCTGCATTGAAGGTTCCCAAGAGCAAAGTGGCTTCTTTAATTCTTACATAGACAAATCTTTGGAACAACCAGCCAAACTGAGCAAGCTGGGGAGCAGGTCCTTGGAAAAAGAGAGGTTAACCAAGAATTTGATGGTTACTCTGGGTGAGCTCCAGAGATCATGTGTGCACAGAGGAGGATTACCCATTAGGCAACCCAGTTGGCCGACTAGGGCCCAGTCTCAGACAGGGACCCAGTCAGTCCCTGTCTGGGCCTACATGTCCAGCTCTGAATGGGCCCTTCTTAAGCTAGTAGGACCCTGTATTCATGAAAATGGTTCCCTGGTGGTCCATGGTATATCACATTAATTGCAGACCCTCAGAGATTCCCAGCTTACACTCTGACTTCCTAGCAGAGAGCCAAAAGCAGCAATTAATATTGTCTGCTCCATGTGCTCGTCCACGGACCTGCACTGCAACATCACTGGACCACTAGGGAATGCCCCCCACCTTCCTGCCCAGTATGTAAGCATGAAGTAGGGGGTATAATCTAAATAAATAAAATGCATTTAAGTTTGGGGAGACTGTTTAAAACAGCCTCCCCACATACTGTTACTCCCTGTGACGAACTGAACTTCGCCAATGACTTTTGGAAGGGCCTGTTTGCCAGCCTCCTACCCTGTGACTATGGCCCATGTAGTAGATCTTGGTTCAGTACTGTGGAAAGGCTTTGTTCATGCCTTTTCCTTTTATTGATTCAGTATATGAGGCCAAATGGATTATGGTTATGGTGTTCGTATACCGAACAAACAACTGGACAGTCGGACCAGCCACAAGTGGAGTGTGCAGCCTATTAACCTCCCAGACTTATGGTTAACGCATTATGGGCGAACGGCTAGGTGGTCGCCATTCGTATGTGCGAACATGTGGCGGCGGCCATCTTGTTTTGTTGAACGCATCCAGCGGTGTTTTGTTGTCAAGTGCATGGAGCTATTATAGGACACTCTGCGGCACGAACACCGTTGGGACTTCCACCTCCAGTCACTTTTGGTTGGATTCATACGAACAGAGCGTCGTTCGGTAGTAATAAGCTCCCGAACCAGATACATACACTAAGTGCCCAGACGAACTTCTGCGTTCGGTATTTTAACTGTTGCATGTGTTCCCGAAATAGACCGACCGGTCAGCCTCATTCTCTGGAACTGTTTTGGGTATGAAACCATGCATGCGGTCGGTCGGTCAAAAAGAGACTTCCAGGAATTTCCTGAACCCCTGCTCTGATATGGGTGATTTTTGGATATGTTGTTCACCTAGATCAGGTCTATCAGGGGATGTATGGTGATATGTTGTGTTTTAGGGTACTTATGAGACTTAAATTATGTGTTTTTTCTGCCTGGAGATAATTGAGTTATTACAGTATCTGACTCAATTATCTCACAGACAGAGAGGAGGGAATTATCTGTTTGTATTGGGAGTGTCACACTTTGTCAATGTATTATTATTGGTTGTAAACTTTGTGTTCCTGTCCCCCACAAGGTCCATGTGGGAGTGCCCCTTGAAGGGGGACTTGCATAAAAGCCAGTGTGGCACCTATTAAATTCATTTCTGTTACACCCTTCATCAAGTTTCGGCTGATGTTTGGGTACCTGTCTACTTTACTGGCAGATGCTTTACCCCTTCATGAAGTCTTGGCTCATGTTTGGGGGATTGGAGTACTACATAAAACTCTGAGGATTGCTATATACCCTGAGTATAATCACTAGCTCTTCTAAGAGCTGTTCCTGCTACGCTCTCTCGACTAGGAGAGGTCTACCCACTGGAAGCTGGATCCTGGTCTTGGGTCCAGGGTGGGTGGAGGACGGCGAGACCCCAACCAAGCTGCGGCGGTTCGTGGGGTTTACAGTGGTTATGGTGTTCCAGTACAGTGCACTTTGACAGATAAGTCACATTTCTTTCAAGAAACTTTTTGAGGTATGGACTATGGCATGTCCACTACCCATTGTATACAATAATTAGAGTCGCCATCTGCCACTAATGAGTGATGACAGGGGTGGGGGACACTATGTCCCCTCCTTTGTTTTATTATTTAGAACCTCCAACTGACGCTAATGGATGGTAGCTGGGGGGGATTTTATGTTTCCCCCACAATATACATTTTATAGACCCCACCTACTGATCTATCCTATCTTCAATTTTCTTTCATTAAATAGCCCCATCCATGGCCAGTGCCTGGGTTATTTAAAGCTCCCACAACTCATTATTTTACAGGCCTCATTTAATGTGATAGGACCTTTCTATTGACTAGGCAGCAATGGCTGCCCCGTGGCTAGTTTTACTCATTTAGATGATATTCTTCTACCTGTCGCATGGCAAGTGGGGCATATGAAGGGTTTTTTAAAATGTATTTTTTAAGCACTTGCCAGCCACCACTTAATTAACTCTCACACTCCTAAGGGTTATATTCCTATTGGCTGCTAGCACCCCCCTAACCTTTTTTAAATCTGGGCCCGGATTTGAAGCATCTGGACCTGGATTTGAAGCATTCAGGTCTGAAATACAGTCCAGCAGTGTTTAGTCAGGCTGAAATCCAGACCACATTCAAGCCTATTTGGTGCCTCAATTACAAAATCTGGTCATTGTTAAATAGCACTTACATCATCTGGACTTTGCAATCCAATGGTTTTTACCCATTCAATATGGGTCCATTTCGATTTTAATCAATGACCATGTTACTGCAATGTATTATATTTTTAAAAATATATATATAAATTATATACATAAACAAAACATTAAAAAAAATAATTGTGCACTTTTTAATTATTATTTTTTTTGTTAAGTTTGCCCAACAGCAATCTATAAAAATACATTTGATCCTGCATTCATGTAATAGCTATCCATCTTATGTTTCAAATGTGATGCTTTTATTAGAAAAAAAAGAAAGAAAGAGAATCTTGCTGGCGAGTATTTAAAATCCCTTTTTACATCTATGTATTAGTCCGTCTCTATACGTAATAGTATACGTCCATTTATAGGCTTTAAGGTACTATGTTTCAAGATAAATTACATATTTTTTAACCACATAGCTGGAGGGACTTTTGACCCAAAGCAGAGATCTCCATGGGCTTCAGAAAAAAAAAAACCAGTGACTCAGAGTAAGTTATACTTTATTTAATCAGAGACTCTCTAAAATATCTGGGTCACTTTTTTTTAATATTGTACAAGGATTGATCACTCATCCATGGTTTGCAGATGTATAGAAATATTGAATAAAGATGGTCTCAACTTCTTTCTGCATATCATCAGTTAGGTGTAGTCATCATATGCATATGAATATCCTGATATGAGACATGTTTGACTGAAAAGTTTTACTGGTGTCTCCACAGCTTATAATTAACTTTGCTGTTTATGATAATACAAACCTCTTTAGTAGGAAACCAAGCTGAACTTAGCAACTATGACCACTAGGTGATGGTATACTGACTCCTAGATTCAAATGCAAAAATTAACAAATTGAATGAAATAACTTTATCT